TTAGGCAACTTCAATTATATAAAATTAATTGAATTTCATTATATTAAATAATTAATTATATTTCTGTCCATCTAAGAATTTTGTATATCCAGAAAATAAATCTGTTTAGCTAACTTTGGGTATATTTAATTAATTATATGCTGCACGCTCTCACATAAATAATAATATTTCTATATACAAAATCATGCTCTTTGATGCTCTGCAACTTTTCGTTAGCTTCTTTAACTGTTCTCTCCCCAGCCAGGCTAAGTTGCTAACCAAATTTGTGGCCTTTAACTTGGCTAGCTGTATGCGCTGGGACAACTTTTCCCACATGAACTTGCCTAATTAACTGGCCACATTGTGCAAGTCTCAAAATTGTTGCCTACTTGCCCCATTTCGCTCAAGCGCTCAACCGGCCCGTGCAACGTGCCTCACCAGTTGCCGCAGTCAGAGTCGCAGCCAGAGCCAGAGCCAGAGTCAGAGTCAGAGTCAGAGCACAAGCAACAACAGCAACAAATGGCCATCAAATAAATCAGCCAGGTTTAAGAACGCACATGCAAAACACGTCGCCAACTCGTTCCGTCCGCAACATTCGAGCGTCCAAGTTGGCCATTTCGGTTATCAGAGTGCGCGTTTTAATGAGTTCGAGTACGTTTTATGAGCGTGGCTAAAGGCAAACTCTTGAGAAATCCGACAAACGCACCAAAGTGGAATGCACACAAAAATGTTAGAATCTTGCCGCAATGATAAACTTTCGCAAAGGAAAGCAGCCAAACACACACAGAGAGAGAGAGATGAAACCCAAGCTGGAACTGAAAGATGGGAGATGGCAGATGGGTAGATGGGCCAGATGGAGCCAAGCAGCAAACACTTCAAGCCAAAAGCCAACAACAACAACCCGCAGAGCTCATCATAATCAACTGCGATGGCGACGGCCTTATGATGATTGTGATTGGTGTCGTTGCTGTTGCTGCCGTTGTTGTTGTTGTTGTTGCCTCACCTGAGGCTGAGCGACTCTGTCTTGAGTCTGAATTGCTGCCCAGAGAGTCGGGCACGTACGCAGATACATTTGCCAAGATACAAAGACGCACTTGCTCTGCTCCGCTCCGTTGGCACGTGAAGAGCCAGTGGCAGCAGAACGCGACGGAATTCATGAATGAATTCAATGGAATGCCAACGAGCAGCTCCAGACGTCATCCGACTGTTAGGCAACAGCCTCCACTCACAATTTGCATTGCCTACTTTTCGGCTGACAAATAAATTGGGCAGAGTTGTAGCCGGTTATGCAGCCATGCAGCAGGTTAGAGCCGGCCTATTTGAAAGTGCTGGCAGCACGGCTAAGCAGGCCTGGCCTGCTCCTGTCAACCCTGCGCAAAATATGAAATTCATATTCTTTTCGTCAGCAACGGGCAAAGGAACACGTTCTATTATAGTCAGAAACTAGCTCGGCAATATGTCACATCAATCAGAAATGCTGCAAATGAGGACGAGCGACGGCGTCGTGTTCGATGTGAGCCTCAAGGTGGCCCAGCAAATGGGATTGACACACAACTGGCTGCAGACGGAGCACGGTGAGCTCAGGAGCAGCGATGATGATGATGCCAATATCATGCCACTGGACCGTGTCAGCTCGGAGATATTTAAGCTGGTGCTCAACTGGTGCGACGCCATCCAGGCCAGCGGCCAGCCCGCCGATCCGAAAAACAAACTGCAGCAGGAGCGCGCCATATTCAAGAGCATTCTCGGCGAATCGAATCCCAGTGACTCGACCATCTTTGAGCTAATCATGGCGGCCGACTACCTCAACATCGAGGGACTGCTCGAGGCGGGCACCCAGCACGTGGCCGATGTGATCAATGGCTGTGACAGCGTCGAGGCGATTCGCGTGCGTTTCAATATTAAGTGCGATGGCGAGATGGACCACTAACTTTCTTTTCTAAGCACACAAATGCACACATGTGCACACACACACACTCATACACACGAACACGCAATGCAAAACGCGCTAGGTTCAAATCGTTGAAATTGTATTAAATCTATAAGTACTCCATAAGTCTTGCCAAATATTTTGTGTTATCTTTTTCTTAATGGGAGGGGCTAATGGCTGTAAGATAAATATTACAAACTCTCTTAATGCTATAACTGGTCTATTATTGGAAAAGAATTTAGCTTGTGACAGGAGTAGTTTCTAGATATATATTACTAGGACTACCTCCGACGAATACTTCCGTACAAATGTCTGAATATTACTCAATTAAATGCAGTTTTATCTAATTATTGATGTAACCTCTTCAAATTGTCATAATACTCTATTTTTATTGGTATATAATATTGAAGGGCAAAGAGCAAGAGGTACCAAAATATTTAGGAATCTCCAAAGAAGCAAAGAAACATCTGAAGGAACTAATTTTTTGCTATACCCTAAAATTTTACTAAAATTTAAATAAGCCCATGTATCCCAAACTAAATAGATCAGTTCAAAATATATACAGTTATCTCAGACTCAGAGTACCAATAAGACATTTACTGTAGTGGTCTTCAGTTCTATATTACTCCCTATTCTCCTGAGCCTAACTTTGTTTACCCCAGAATTATGCATAAATTCAATCCCTAAATCTGGTACATCTATTGCATATTTTTATGCTATGATCAGGATCAACGTTCATTGCCTATTTATAAGGTTTCTTGTCATTGGTATTTGCTAGTTTTTGGTAGTCATTATTACATGTCTGAAATCTATATATAAATATTTGATATA